ATATAAGTTTAGTATGTGTGCAAGGCTTGGTTGCTAAGATACAGGTGATCAAATATGGTCATATTTTTACTTAGGGGTAGGGTTTGGTTTAACATTATTTCGCTGATGAAAAATTGAAATATATCCAGTACACGAATGATAAAGAAATGAAAATGACATTTATTTCATCTCTATATCTATCATCTTTTTTTTAGATTTTTAATCGACAGTTCTTCTTTCATTCTTTCTTGGTAAGTAACACCATCTTTATTTTAGTTTTAATTCATTGTATCTCGTTGGATATTTATTCCTCCATGTTCAAAYTTGGCCCATGTGTAGCACGTATGTTAGACTATTCGYTGTCTACGTTTAGTGCGTTAACAAGGCTTGGTTACACAGTTATAGGTGCGCAAACTCAGTAGAAATGTTCTTTTTATGTCATCAGTTATCATGTCACTGGATCAGTTTGACGCTGTTGTGCCCCAGAATGTGATGCACCTGGTCATCCAGGTGCATCACTTGAGGTGCCTCTTCAAAGAGGCCCTCTTCAAGTCGCGTGGGGTGGCGACACCCCTTGCCAAACTGGTGAGCTATACTTATGTTAGATTGTACAATGAAATTGTGCTAGGTTTTTGTTTGAATTCTTTGCCATGTTTTTGGATATCTTATTCCTTTTCAGACCGAAGATCAATTTAAGATAGTCAGCGATGTGCTGAAATCCCTGGGGGTGGATGTCAAGCCCATATCCACCCCCCTTGAGATTCCTCTCGTAGAGGGAAGGGGTAAGTGTCTTGAATGAACATCGAAGTCAGTCGATTTCTTACGATGATTAAGTGTCCTTTTTTATTTTAGCTGCAGCGGACCTCCCCACTAAYYWKCAMGAGGATGKGGTTGTGGAGTACCTGCCTCCTGAAGGGCAGGTCCAAAAGCATCCCACAGGGTTAGAAGATCTTGACAGGGCAGTGGATGAGCACTTTGCGGTCCTCGACATGGAGCCAATAAGGATGGATCCAATCGAGGTGGCGACGAGGGCCGCAGAGTGCCAGRCGGACAGACAMGAATGTTCCGTCTGTCATATTCCAYTGCCCTTTTCAATCTGTTGGGATTGCACAAAGGACCTGCCCGACGAAGAACTGGAGGTGGGTGCCTTCGCAACCCCTAAATGCTCATCTCGCCCTGGGCTTGAGGTAAGGACTTCCATTGTCGTGCCTTTGATTCACATGTTCTAACAGCTGTTTGAATTTGTATTTAGACTGTTCATGATGTACCGCTAGACATACTGGTGATGCCACACAGGCGCCGCGTCAATATCCCCGTGGTGCCTTTTGTGGACTCTGTAAGGCTTTTTTCATTTAATTCCTTTTCTTTATTTTGAAATGCTGACAAAGATGTCATATTTTCTGATAGGAGGTCGATTTGGTTAAAGAACACGTAACGCCTCCCATTGTAACCAAGGCACCACCTTACCATGACAAGGTGCCCGTCTCCAGAGTCTCCCGAAAGGTATGAATATCCCTTCCTTTTTTGTATACCACCTATCAATACACTGATCGTTGTTGTACACAACTGCAGGTTGATGATGACTCTGATGATGACGTACCCCTGTCTTCGTTAATAAGAAGCAAGACCAGGAAGGTAGGAATATCCCTTGCTTTTCTTATATACCGCCTATCAATACATTGATCATTGTTGTACACAACTGCAGGTTATCGAATATGATGACGAAGATCATATCGAATATGATGACGAAGATCACGATGATGACATTGACTATGACATGGATGATGACGAGGAACGTGTCGAGGAGAGCGATGATTCAGAGGGGAGTCAGCATGGACAGGAGCCACTAGCCGGGGTAATGGGTACCAAAACCACCAAGAGGGTGCTGTTGCTAGCCCCCACCTTCAACAGAGCCTCCAAACCGCTGCCACCGAATATTACGGTGTTCGGNACTCTGATGATGACGTCCCTCTCTCTCTCCCCAATGCACCAACTTACCATGACAAGGTGCCCGTCTCCAGAGTCTCCCGAAAGGTATGAATATCCCTTCCTTTTTTGTATACCACCTATCAATACACTGATCGTTGTTGTACACAACTGCAGGTTGATGATGACTCTGATGATGACGTACCCCTGTCTTCGTTAATAAGAAGCAAGACCAGGAAGGTAGGAATATCCCTTGCTTTTCTTATATACCGCCTATCAATACATTGATCATTGTTGTACACAACTGCAGGTTATCGAATATGATGACGAAGATCATATCGAATATGATGACGAAGATCACGATGATGACATTGACTATGACATGGATGATGACGAGGAACGTGTCGAGGAGAGCGATGATTCAGAGGGGAGTCAGCATGRACAGGAGCCACTAGCCGGGGTAATGGGTACCAAAACCACCAAGAGGGTGCTGTTGCTAGCCCCCACCTTCAACAGAGCCTCCAAACCGCTGCCACCGAATATTACGGTGTTCGGRCCACGTCCATCGTATGGCCCTTGGAGGCAAGAATGTGGGGTGCAGGTGCATGACCAAATCTTAGTTGGACAAAACCTTCTGGAAAACAAACCTTCAACAAACTTGGTATCGCATGCAMCAAGAAATCCCGCTGACTACGCTGTTGCAAGTTTTCATGAAGCAAGGCTGTTTCCCTGCCTTCCCGTTCAGAATTTTGGAAACCAACGAAACGTTCGAAACTCCTGAACGTGATGGAGAAAAAGCCTTCTCGGGTTTTGCTCTCTTAATGTTGGTTCATGAATATTAATTTTTTTTCTCCTTTTGGTTCCCTGATTTTTAATTTATACGAAAATTATGCATTTCCCACCTCCTTTCCGTTGACCGGTTGATCGCGGGCTCAGGAAAATGTCCATATAAGTGACTATAGTAGTGATTATTTGTAGCCCTTAAAAAAAAATTTTTATTTTCCCTCTTTCACAGCACAACTGCTTTGATTATCTGAAAGGAAATGCAAGAGCAGGGTTGTTTTAGGAGACAAAAAAATTTTATAAAGACTACAATTTCCATCATACTTTGTGCACAGAATGGCATCACTGCAGATTGCCTACTAGCATAATATGAATTTGCATGTACATTAAACAATTAATATTTATTAATATTAATTTATTAATATTATTTACTCACACTGACAATGATGCTGGCATGGKGTGTAAACACTAAAACCATGAAAACGTAACGTAGATTAGACAACAGAAAACAAAGGAATTCCCACAATTTGGTACAATATAGCAATTTCTAAAGTTAACCATGGTCCTAGTGTTTGTGCCCTAATTATGTCAAAACATGTTGGATGATAATTATTACCCTTTATGTCCGTATTATTGTCCATATTTTGCAAAAATATTTGAGAAAACTAGAACAATTGAAAAATGCATTTTGCTGTAATACTCCAGTTCCAAATTCATAGTGCAAAATCGCTGCTTTATTTGYGCAAAGACCCGACCAAACACAAAAGAGAGCACGAGAAAATGTTGTTATTACAATAGAATAAAATTTGCATTTTCTCCGAGCTGAGACTAACCCTGTATTCCCATAAGACCTAAGGYATGAGMCTTCTGGGAATACAGRGTTAGCCTCAACTCGGGGAAAATGTAAATTGTTAGTGCTATTGTACTAGCAACATTTTCTCGTGCTTTCTTTTGTGTTTGGTAAGTTTTTTGCGTAAAATAATCTGCTSTCAAATAAAACAGTGGTTATTCGCTTTGAATTCGAAACTGGAGTATTAGGACAATCATATGGACAATAGACTAAGGGAACAAGGAAAGATTATGATATGATGAAACAACTTTAGGTTAAATAAAACAATTGAAACTAAAATGGCCGTAAAGATCTTGGCCTCCATATCCCAACAGTCAAGTCACTGGATGCTGATGCCAGAATACCAGAATTACTGTGGACCTAGGAGAAAAAATCAACAAGAATTGTTTTAGTTAGTATATGTATGCTAATTATAATGGTCATTAAAATATCAACAAGAATTGTTTTAATTAGTATATTATGCTAATTATAATGTTCATTTCCCCTATTAAGGTACTGTATTGTGTGTTTTGRCAAAGTGCATCATGATGGTATTGATAAAAGCATCTAGACAGTGGTTGTCAATTAAAACCTACAAGGAATTAAGTTTCTTTGCAATATTAACATCATCCTTTGTTGAGAAAGCTGTGAAATAAACATTGAGTAATATGTATGTACAGGAAGGTATACTCTGAAGGATTCATATGTTTTATACAACATTCTCCACCCCAGAAACTTTTGTCAATACCATGAGGCACTTTGCTAAAACACACAATGTCCAGCAGAGGCCGATTTTCTCAGGTAATGTTATTGGAATAGCTAACAATCACAGAGCACAGAGGAAACAGCATTGTACAATAGACCTATTTTGATATTGTGGTTGACTAATCATGAGAGATTAGCCAACCAAAATCTAAAATCGGCAACTTATCTTGCAACAATGTAATATGTGGCTCGAGACAATAGTGTCAGTGTTTCACTGTAAAACCAATAGTCCATTTTCAAATTCAAAGCTGTTTCATTTGACAACAGATCCTCTTACACAAAGACGTTACCAAATACACAAGAGAGCATGCATGCAAAATGCTATGTTTACAGTACTCTTAAAATTTGCATTATTATTATTTTAGGTAAGGTGGGTATTTGGTAAGGTCTTTCCACAGGAGAATCAAAGTGGCTTTGAGCCAATGTACATGTCCATGTAAGGTAAAGTCTTTTGGTAAGGGAATCTGTTGTCTAATAAAACAGAGTTGGATTCAAAATCCTTGGATTTTTTCCCAAGTAACTTGTTTGGGCCAATGAAGGGTATAGGCAAAATTCAAGATTGAAATGAAAATTGCACGTTCATGTATAGAGTAATTATAGCACTGTCATGAGGTCTTGTGAGAATACTCCATTTTTTTAATTCAAAAGCGAACCTCTTCTTTATCTGACAAAAGATTCTCTTGCACAAAGATCTTACCAAACACAAAAGAGAGCATTAAGAAAATGTTGTTTCACAACAGCCTTGAAAATCTGCATTTTCTAAGAGTTGAGACCAACCCTGTTTTCCCATGAGACCTAAGGTTTAAGCCTTCTGGGAATTCAGGGTTGGCCTCAACGGCAGGAAATGTAAATTGTTAGGGCTGTTGTACTTACAAAAATATCTTGTGCCTCTGTTTGCATTTTGTTAGCAGTTATTTTCTTTGAATTTTGACAATGGAGTTATTGTTGTGAGAAATTTGCTGCTGTACAATTTGTTGCATTGAGCAGAAAATGTAACTTTATCCACCCTTCATAGAACTAGCCCAAAGGCTGTCCAAAGCTTGACTAGCACTAATACTTCAGGTGGTTAATCTGGATAAACACTAARTAAGATTTAGGAGAACCTTTACCAGGAGCTCTACCTCCTCCAATGCCTCAAAAAAGCCTCCTTCAGACAGTGGATCATGTTGAAAGGTAACAAGAACTTTGCATGAAGGCAGGATGACAGTAGACTTGGAAATGATAGATTGAAACCTTCTTTTAAAATTTTGTGCAGTTATTCAATGTAAGGTACAAAAACTTTGTAGTCTCCTTCGCAGCCTACCCTTTTGTCGGTCTTCCTGWCCCTCCCAAAAGAATAATAATTCTTTTGGGAGGGACAGGAAGCCTGACAAAAGGGTAGGCTGCAAAGGAGACTAAAAACTTTGCTGCTCTGGCAAGTTCTTGTAAGTTTACCAGCCCTCTTGTTTCCATTCAATTGTATGGTTACCTTTTAAGATCACCAGGTAAGCAACTATTTTATTTTACAGTGCAGTGACACCTTTACCAAGTCCCTGGGATTGATTGGGACTGGGAACTCTCAGCTTTGAAAATACAGCAAAAMATTGTTGCATTGTGTACATGTATGTAGAAAGATTTCCAAGCTACTTGRAGTGTTTGATTTTGATTTTTTTCCTTTTCTGTAATCCTTTGTTGCAGTGTCATAACAAAGAAAGAATTAGCACAGGCTTCACTCCCAGTTTTTAGAAAAGAAATAAAAATATCGAGAAGAGAAACAAAACTTTGAAGCTCAGAGATCATGATGAAACAGGTTTTGCTGTAAAATGTTTATGCTGTCTTCCTGACACTCACCGAAGCAACATCCCCAGTGTGCATTTCAAAAGAATACATCTTTGTCTGAACCCTGGATGGCTCAAGGACCTTCATTAGAAGAAAATACAAGAAAATGTAAGTTTTTTGTATATACTGCAAAATAGAGTTGTTTATTGGTCCAGTTTTGACATTTTGGTTGAATGGTTGTGAACAAAAAAGCTGGAGCATGTAGGAGGGGCCAGGAAACAAAAGATCTTGTTTTTGTTCCATGGAGCTTTATCTTCAATTTTATTTGCATGATTATAGTCAGCCAACATAAGTATCAAATGAGAGATTTGGACTTGTCACCTCGCAGCCGTGATTAGTTTTGGTCACATGTAACCCAACCTCTCTGCAGAAGTTGCATTATGCATGACAGAAACTAAACATGGCTGCAAGGAGACTAAATTTGGACATGATGGTGCAGAACTAAATACTTTGTTCATAGAATAAAAGACCACATTAAGAAGTGTTTAAGAATTTACAGCTAGCCTTTCAATTTTTTAGAATTTCTAAAGTACACGATGCCTTGGAAATTGTGGCATATTTCAAAGGTTGTACATGTTTCACATTGATCTGAAGAATACTCTGTAATTTTGAGATTGAATTAGCATTTTTTATGTGAATGGAATATTGTTCTATGCACATTTTACCTTTTACCCTGCTAGCAGAGTCTTGTTTACCTTGTACCTCAGTAAAAATTTGTAAAAGAAATACCGCATTTACCCATGTATAAGCCGCACTTTTTTTCCAAAAAAATCGTTCCCAAATCGGGGGTGCGGCTTATCTACGAGAAGATAAAAACTAATTTGCATAAATTAGCATTCACGGTGCTACTTACTGCAGTTACACGGCGGGAACAGAAATTTTAATCCAAACTTCTCAGTATTACTATAAATTCTCCGAAAATCTAGCTCTGAGAAACACAAGTCAATAAATCAAACTGAAAAGTGCGTGGTTATTGAGCTAAAATGTACAGAGAGCATTTTCAATCGTTTTGTCTTAGAGTTGTTTTGRTAACGCGATGCTAATTTGTATTGATCATTTAAGCGACTTTGTCACACTTAAAGTGAAGAATACAGGGTAAATGTTTTGAATACCCAAGAAATAAGCCCAAGAAATTGTTCCTTATATTAAACAAATACAATCTGCTTTGATATTTTTTTGAAATACGAAACAGTTGTGATCCTTATGTTTAGAAGTTTGGCGGCACGAGTTAATTACTAGTTTGCTCTTACCTTTTGAATGAAAAACAACTCTTTAAAGTATCAATTATCAATCTTAACAATTATGTCTCCAAGATMAAATCCATCAWAGTACAYCGTACGTTAAATAAACTGATTGTAATTGCATACGAAATGCATGAATCACGGAAATCGAGCAGCGGAAAAGCACTTTAAAATCAAAGAAAGCTGTGTTCGCAAGTGGCGATCAAAAAGAGAAAAGTTTATTTTCCATCTTTTTTTTCCTCAAAAACGTTCCTAAAACTCGGGATGCGGCTTATCTACGAGAGCGGCTTATACATGGGTAAATACGGTAATTCGCAAATTTTTTCTGACTAGGTACAATAAGTAAGACTTTGCTTGCAGGGTAGTCAATTTACAGGGAATCTACCCAGGCAATTTAGAAAAATAAACTTAAATTGTAACAGAAATGTAGTCAGTGACTTGTTATCAATATTTCTGATCTAGTACCTTAATAGAGTGGTCACTGGATGCTGCAATGATGGCCCCACCATGATGGCATAAACCACAAATTTTCCCTGTCAATTCACCAGGATTCTCAGGATTCAGTGGTGTCTGAAAGGGAAAATTTGACCAGTATTTTATTTCATGTTTCCTAACAGCATCTTATAACTGAAGCCCTATAGAGGTGCACTAAATTTAGAGCCTAGCTTTAGCTTTAGCCTAGAGCTTTAGCTAGAGTACAGGCCACAGAAGCGTGAAACAATTATTAACAATCAACAGCTAATCATAAGATTTAGTTATCAATTAACTAAGAATGAATACAATAGAGTATTCAAGTGATGATGTCACAGAACGAAAATTTTTGAGTTTTTAAATATGCCCTCCATATTCTGTGCATCATTTTAATGCATCCTTGCTAAATATGAATGTCTTAGTGCCATTTATAGCAGAGATTCAAGCAATTTTATGGTCAAGTGACCACATACAAATGCTTGTAAATTTGGTCTTGTTCCTTTCGATATGAACAAGACCAAATTTACAAGTGTTTGTATATGGTCACCTGACCGTAAAATTGCTTGTATCTCCGCTATAAATGGCACTAGTACACTGAAATTTGGTAGATATCTACTTTTTTCCATGCGCTTTAAGGATACTTCAGCAAACCCAAAAAATTCGAAAAATTCAAGTGTGACATCACACTTGAGTACTCTTTGCCAGAAAGTTGCCATTTTTATGCATCACTGAATTCTTAGTTGATAACTAAAATAATATAATAAGGTGCTAATTAGTTAAGAATTGTTTCACATAATGCACTCTACCCTCACCATCTAGTAGTGAAATAAATAATTTTACCATAACTTGTAGAATTCTCTCGCGCTGATTGGTTAAGAGCTGTTGTCAATCCTAGGACAGACGGATGAAATGACGAATCGCTCGTGCATGGAGCCAGCGCGCACCAAAAACTGTCTTGTTTTGGAAGTTTTACTTTGTTTTCAGCTTTTTTATGGTAAAAACAATTCGCAGGCGGTTTTCCATTGTCTGTGCTCTTATTGACAATGAAATTGACGTCAAAAATGCTCAAAACTTTGTAGTGAATTTGCACTTGAGTTTTGAGCATTCGTCAATTTCATTRTCAATAATACAGACAATGGAAAACCAGCTGAGAATTGTTAAACAGTAGCAATTGGTAATATTGTTTCACAAATTTAGTATGTGTACTCTCTCTCTCTCTCTCTCTCTCTCTCTCTCATAATAATAATAATAATAACCTCCAAAGCTTCAAATGAATCTGCTGTGGTATCAAACATATGAATGGAGCCATTCCGTCCACCAGCTCGGAGGTAACTGTACCCTGATGAGCTACTTCTACAAATGGAAAAAGCTGGACTTGGAAGCTGAAATTATACCACAGTATTATCATTTAGTTCATTATTAATGTGTTTAAACGAAGTTTCACTAAATAATTTTTTAAAACATGCATTAAGACATTGTTGTTATCCCATAGAGAAAATGCGCTTTATCCCATGGAATGTTGCYACTCTCTTTGAACCAATTTTGTGGAAATCTCACTCCAGTTGCAGATTTATTTAGTGCAAATTTGTGCCATTAATTGTTAACTACCCAGGTAGAGAAGGATCTGTTCTATGCCTCTAATGTATAGTTGTTCATACATGTACACAGCAATTGGGGACAGTTCTTTTTTTTTTCAGGGGAAGGGGGATTTGAAGGGGGGGCACCCAAGCAAAAAAAATGTTCGAGTGAGGTAAAATTATCATTCTATGTAAGTACTATGTGGAGAAGAACTTAAAAGAAACTTTTAGCGACCACCATGAAGGTTAATATTGAGCCTTCTACATGTATATTATGTGCATCAAATACCCACATTGTTCAACAGATCCTACATGTCCCTCAAATCCATAGTAATTGTGTCACAATGTTTATGTGGAAAATGTCCCCGCATGACAACATTCAATGCATTTACAATACACCTTTTCAGTTGCACTTAGGCCTCAAAAGAAAGTTAATTATTCTTTTGAATTTGACAAATGAGACTATTCATATCAATKTTTGCATTGCTCACATTCCTACAAATTCAAAAGAATACTTAACACGCTGTTGAGGCCCAAGATCAACTGAAAAGGTGTATTAAAAAACCGTCAGAGGTACATATACCTGAAGCACTTTATAAACTTTAGAAGCCCTACGGTCATATATACATAATGTTTGATCCTCGCTGCCTGTGATGATGTACTTGTCATCAACAGATAAGCACAGTACTGGTTTGGTATGGTACTTTAAGGACGAAACAATGTGACTGTCTGTTGATGAAAAAATATAGGGTGGTTTTCGTAAACCCATGACACAAAATGTAATATAGTGAAAGTTCAATGATGTGAWGTGCCATGAAAAAGAAGACAGAAACAAGGTGCACTATAAAGAGTAACAAAGTTTAGTGCTATAAAGTATATTTCACAAGTTAATGAAAACATTCTGACTAGTAACGACTAGAGCGGATTTCGTATGAGTGGGAAACAGACGGTACTGTGCTGTGACCGTAATCGTACTGTAACCAAATTCTAGTGCCCCATTGGTTCACCAAAATTGTGCAGGCCAGGTCCGGTAACTGTGCGGTAACCGTGCAGTAACGGTGTCCCACTCATACGAAATCCGCTCTAATAGTCATTAAATAAGAACTAATATAGTACAAACACTAAAACTGTGCAACATAAATACCACTAAATTATGCTAATTCTATTGTTTTCTATTGTTTAAYTGGCACTATTTTGTAGTAAATAGTGGAAAGTGTTGCACACATTTAATGTTTGTACTCTAGTAACTATTTAAATTTTATTTCATGGTCATAGTGTAAGCACTCTAGAACAGTATTAATAAGACTATTCACTCTATACAATAAACACAYCCACTGTCTATACTGATACCTCTGAGGTCAAACATTCTCACATATTTGTCATAACAACCAGATATAAGAACATCATGCTTCCAATCGATGCATAGTACAGCAGCTTTATGTTCTCTGCAATCAAAAGCATACAATAATGATAAATGTGAATGTACATGTACACAATCAATAAAATCCACAGCACTTTCACATTTATTCAATTTTATTGAATGGCAAGGTAGAATAGATGTTGGAAGTTCAAATGTCTGAGGTAGAGAGTTATGCTGATATTTACAAAATAATAATGGTCAACAAAACAGAGTTTACAAAGCCATGAAAAAAATCTTGATGTTTAATCAAGCCTGCTTTTGCACAGACTTTCAAAAATTTTGAAGTCATTTGCACAACAATAAACTGCTGTAACTCAAAATCGAAGCTAAGTGTCAGTTGTCGCCAAACCACTWATGAAGTAGATTGACAGCTGTCATGTATGTCTTGAATTTTGTCTAAGCTGGTTGATAGCAAGACTGCAAACRATGGTAAGTCTTTATTAACTACTGTAGCTATTCATAGTTATATTATTCCACCAACCTGATAGTTGTCATTTCAATATTTCTACTTTCCAGATCCCATATCTTTATACTGTTGTCCCAAGAACCAGAACAAACCCTTGAAGCACCAGTAGGATCACTGGCCAGGCACCACACCCAACCCTGACAAAAGAAAGCAGACCTTTTACCTTGGTAAAAAATAKGTGACAGGGGTTTATTTTAATATGTAAGTTGTTTATTTATCGTCCCTTGGGCCTTGGTAGACTCTTTTAAGGAGTCGCGCTTTGTGCGTGACAGAGAGTTCGACCSCGGTACCGGCCAAAAGCAGAGTACGGAGACGTGAATGCACCCAGCTACAGGAGGCGAKTTAGGCCCTTGAAACATATGTACGAGTGCTCAGGAACAGAATAAAACCAACGTCGTTACAAATATAAGAGGGAATGTATGGTTTATGGGGAGGCTGTTCTACTGTAGTCTTAAAGTAGTCATGTACATGCTCTGTTATATTTCACAAGCACTCAATATGATACATACCTTATGACCATCTAGATGATTGACCAAAGCCCTGTCTTCATCTCCCTTATCCTTCAATAAAGATAAATCCCACACACCAACAGATCTGTCTCTGGAACCAGATACACACAACTTTCCTCCAGCCATTACAATAGCAGCATCAACTGGTGCAAAATGTTTCTTTAACTGGAAGAAGTCAAAATTCTGTTCAGGRTCTTGCCAGAATCTATCCATGTCCTCGTGATCTACACAAATTCTTTTCCAACTAGCGTTAAATGACAGCGAAGTGATCAGTACATTATTATTTTAGAATTGTTAATTGAGGAATGTGGGGTCAAACTTATCATTCCAGGGGGGGGGATAACATAGGGTGGGTATATTATCAAAATGGTGGAAATTAATAGTAAACTAGTGTGATCTGCATCAGTGTTTCTAAAGAAACAGTTGTGTAAAAAGATTTTAACACCATAAAAATGTAGGTGAACTAACTGAAGTTTTGGATGTTAATCCTTCGTCTCTTTACTCCAACGAAGGATTAACATCCAAAATGCCAGTAGGTTGTTCACCTAAAAACTTTTTTACAGTGTTAAATTTATCTTTGTACACAACTATTTTTCTTCTTACCCATATAGGAAAGAGCTGTCAGTTGCTCTGAAAGAGGCCTACTATAATAGTACTAAACCTGGGATAGATCTCTTAATCTTAAACCATTAGTTTATCCATTTCAGGCTGTCTGGAAATATAATTCTTTATTTTTCATTAATGCTTGAAAAGTTGCATTATTGGCAGTAAAACAAAGAAATATACTCCCATGGGACAATTTCCAAGCTAAGAAGGTCTGATGAAGGTATCTAAATTATAGTAAATTACCTAATAACATAATCATAATCTTCTTTCCTGTCTCTTTTTGGCCATCTTTTACCAAACCTTGTTTTCCATGATGCTTCAGATGATAATAACTGATTAAAGAATTTACAAACTTGACAAAGAACAGTCATTGCAAATCTTGCTTCAATGAARGAGAAAGTAAATAATATCAGTTCTGGTGGTAATTCCATTAATGTAAAACTGCTAGCATTTGTGCTGTCTAAATTGTCCATGGTCTCTTGACATGCATCATGACTGTTATCTTGGTATTTTTCTGGACTTTCATGCTGGTTGCTTGTTTTTTCACTGCTTAATGGTTCATCTATAGTGAGTGTTTCTTGAGTCTTTCTACTGATTGAATCATTGTCATTTATCTCTGACCAATCAGTTGCCTGAGCCATATTTGACTGTGAGTAAATAATAATATAATAATAGTCATAATAGTAAGCCTAACAGATGGAAAATCACTCCTTTATGAATTACTACTTRATCTTCTTTGATGTAACTCCAGGTGCACAGCAAAAATAACTATAGTGCATGAAAATATTAAAAAAAAAGATATTTACTAATTTTGTTTCAGTCACAATGACTTACGAATAAACAGCCTTTACCATTTACATGTATACAATGATTAATTATTGAAAAAAGAGAAAACGACAATACATACCTGCGGTCTTGCGGTGCACTTCGTTCAGCAATATTTTCGTGAGACCAACTTACAAACTTATTTTGCTTTTGACTAAAGGTATTTTAGATAATKTTCATTATTATACAACTCAAAAAGATTCATTTAATATCTTGGAACTGATTTACATGTCGTGAACCTGGTTAAATTAAAACGAAGCGAAGCCAAAACAAAGGACTGAAATGATACTCTTATTTTTCGAACATCAACAAAGCAAATATTTATCAGGCGTTCCTCACATTGTCGACAATCACTGGTCACTAGTCTTGACCACAGGAAACCCGAGTTAAGAAACAATCAAAATAGATAAAAGATACATCTTGTATTTGATATTATCACGATATTATAAATACTCTTAACTATCAGATTATTGTCACAAAATGGTCACTTTTGACTGGAATATATCAAAAGTCTTTAACCCGTCCCAGACCACTCTCTCTTTCTGTAGAAAATGATTTGCGAAAAATGATTGGCATTTCTGAAAATAGTGTTATGATGTCATGCTCAGGCAACCGTGGAAGTGGAGCTCAGAGCTTTTGCATTGTCATTGCGAGTTTAATTGTATTTTCTGTCAAGGAAAGCTTGCTGTAGTGAAAGATTGGTCCTCCAGTTTKTAATAGGTGGAATAGAAGTGTAGTCAAAAGTACTYCTCCATATATCTTGAGAAGGGTGATAAATTGGTTTGAATGCAGCTGTCTCCATCTCTCGCTCTCTCTTCGATCACATCTGTATCGTCCTGACACGAGCGGGACCATCAAGCTTAATTCCTTACAGTCAAAAAACTAATGATTTGAGGATAGAAGAAGTTTTTTCGACGGTTCTTACACTGAACAACGTTCCATTATGAAAATCTTCAACCAACTTCGTTTACTTGTGTGGAAAAACTTTACACTGAGAAAGCGACAACCGGTAAGTTAACTTAAGTCTCTCTGGATTTTTTCCTCGTAGTGATTAAGCAAGTAACTTCTGGTTTATTTACAAAGACGGTATAATTTTATTTCTTATACTGTTATTCGATGGCTTGCTAGGGCGGATTYAAGCGAAATATTCCAGGTTAATTTTAATATTTTGTTACGTAAGATGTTATGCTTGATCGAGTGTAGGRTAAACGCACGCAACTTGTCGATTTTATTATTTCATAAATATTCTCGAAGCTAACGTGAATACACGTAGAAATGAATAAACGTGTTGCTTTAAAAAAGAAAACTTCAAATTCAAGTCTCGACGGTTTTCTGCTTTGCCCAGCAAGGAAGAGATTTGAAGGTATAATATTACGTCTCTCAACAAATAATGTGAAATACTTGACGTCACTAATATATTCTGTTGTTATAGTAACTTATCCTTTGACAATGTCTAGCTTTSTCTGTGGTTATCACTCAGGATATTAGCACAGATTGGTCAACTTTCTTGCATTGCAGTCCTCAAAAGTTCAAAAAATATTCTCTTTAAAATTCAAAATCCTGTCCCTCCACTTAGCCCGACACGAAAACGGATGCGAATGAGACTAACAAAAACACAATGTTTGGTCAGTTACAAAAATACTCCATTTTCGATCTAAAAGAAAACTGCTGCTTTATTTGACAACACATGAACTCTTGTGCAAACACCTACCAAAGACATTCTTGGTATAAAGGGTTCCAGCCTCAACTAYATGCTTATTTGCTAAAATGTTGTCATAGAGAAATAAAACATTTGTACGGGTAATTCATCAAGTGTACAAAAGCAAGTGTTCACAGGTTTTTCAATAGTACTGTAGCTCCTTCTCGCTTAGTTTAAAACACCAGTTACTTGGTGAAATTATTCACAGTTTTTTGTTAATACAGCTGCAGATCCTCTGGTACTTTTGCTAAAACAGGCGTCTACTTTAGTTTTTCTACTGAGTTAAATCCTGGTTCAGCCTAATAGATCTTCATTTGTTTTGTTTAATTTATTCTTTTTTTCTAAAGTGCAAATGTTATATTTTAGACTATAATCGTATGAGGAAGTGGCTGATCCCATTAAAGAGTGCTCAATACACATAAAGTGTAGAGCTAGTTATATATATAATATCAAAGAGGCAAGATTTTGCTGTAACTCCGAGTTTCGTGCTACACACTCATCAGACAGTATTTAATGATTACATGTACATTCCTATATCTATATCTTTAGGAATGTTTATCATTAAATACTGTCTGATGAGTGTGTAGCACGAAACTCGGAGTTACAGCCAAAATCTTGCCTCTTTGATATCATGTATATATTTTAGACTATACAGCATTTTTGCAATTAGGTGTATATTTATTACGTGTGACTGTGAAGTTCTTGGGAGGAGCTTAAGAGGGTATTTCAGGTACCATCAAAGGCGTCGAGAGTGTCCATTCTTTATTACTTTCCAAAGCATATATCTCAGAAGTATGCAATTACTGGTTTTTGATACTTTCTTTGAGACCAGTGGTGATATCAAGAAACTTTGAAAATGTTCCATTTTGTTGTATGYAGTAATTATGTATGAAATACATAAATTTTTCTCTTTTAAACTGTTGATTACTTTCTCTATTAAAAAGGTATTTTACTACTTAATTGTATRATGAACAGAATATTACATGGGCACAMTGAGATTTTATCTTTAAGTGTTGAAAAATTCTCACAAGAATGAGCATCTATCCTCTGTTATTTCCTTCAGCAATCTTTCCAGTTTCATACTGCTGAAAGGAATTGTATTTAATTGACTGAAGCTTGCTTTCACATTCATTACAGAAAAAGACAGACTTCTAGTCTTTGAAACAGTGATAAAACAAGTTGTAAAATCATCAATATTGGAAGCACCTTCTGTTAAATTGCAATTTCTTTTAACCGTCATGATGGCCTAATACTTGACATAATGTACATRTACAATATAGTCAATAATTGGTATTGGCTTTGGCCTGAGGCACTTGAACTGTGGAGTGCTTCATCTCAATGAAATTTCAAATGTTTTTATTTGCTTYCTGTCTTCAATTGCACACATTGAYAAACTCATTTGAATATGAAAGCAAAAAATYGTCGAGTGGTGGTTTATTCCTAAGACACTTTTTCTGTGCTACTTTGCTGTGACACTTAGCTATGATATTTTTCAATTTTGTGATTACCCACTTCACTACTATGTTGTAATGAACAACAAAATGACTGGAATATTTTACATTCAGTGTTTCTCATATGATTTGTGGTCAAGTGTCTGCAAACTGGTATTTTTTTAACAATTTTGATAAAAAGGGCTGGGATGCCTGTTTGGGATCTYACCAGCTCAATTACTAATTACAATATAAGCCAGATACAGACAAAAACAACAGTTTCAAGTGCATACAGGACAGCCTCTCTTAAACTAGACCCTGTTGATTGGCTGACAGATATATAAATCACAATGTGATTGGCTATGAAGATATACCGAAGGCAAACTTTCGACATCGATGAAAAAAAAAAAACAAGAAAGCAATAGCATTTTTCTTCACGTAGCCTACAGGTGTACATCTGTTTCTGACCCCTCCAAAAAAATCGGGGAGAGAATCTCCCTGATTGTTTTGGAGGGGTGAGAAACGTATGTACACATGCTATTCTACACATCCCCTGCTTAGCAGGGCCCGTGTAATAAGGCTTGCAATTTTCAATACCCAACAAAGGCACTGTCCATAATGCTCAGTCATTCGCAAAAAGACGATTGTTATTCATGATTGGCTTAGCTCATTCAGTTTTTCAACAGAAAATCAAAGGCTCTGGTTTGAGACGAATGAGACTTTGATTGGATTGGTTCAAAAAAACCCATGGTCCATTAGTATACATATATTGTACAACCCAGATTCTCTGGGTCATCTGGTATCATCTCTTACCAGAGCCTTCTATTGTCCTTTGGGAAACTGAGAAGGATCTGGGTACAAGAATGTACTTAGCTATATTCACAGYGTCTCATCTTAATTCCTTTGTGTTTTACTATTGAGGCAAAATACGCAAATCAGCTATTCTATATATTCTTGTCTTAAATGCATTTTTTGCTTCTACAGCTGCGCAACTTCCTTGAAATTGCATGGCCTCTTGTCATTTTTTTCATCCTGGTAGCCGTAAGAACAAGAAGRCACCCAGAAAGCAAAGCAAGCAGTAAGTCAGAATATGTTTTTTTTTCATATTTTTTCTGTGACTGTTGATATATATTTTTTTTATTCTTTAAAATTAGTTTCATGAGAAGTAGACTTGTTACATTTGCATATTTTGTATGTTTTAATCCTTGAATATTTACAAAAATGTATTTTTATAATAATTCACCTAATTTCTTCCTTTTAAAGGATACTATAGACCAAGAGCATTGCCGTCAGCAGGCCTCCTACCATTCATGCAGTCATTCTTTTGTGATTATCGAGGAGGATATCTTCTCTATTCTGATGGTACAACCTACAACAATTTACCAGATGTACAAAATTCAAGGTAAACACTTTATCAATGGTGATTTGCATTTATTTATGACATACATGTAATCAACTACATTTACCAGAATGTCTTGCCTACTTTTTGTAATATAATTAATTCCAATTGTTTCACTAATCTCCTTAAGGATTAAAAATCTGAATAAAAAGGAAGTGTGATAGGCTTTCTGGTAGTTGTAGTAAAGTTGCATAATCATGCAAATGGGCTATTAACATGTGTTTTTTTTCTGACCAGTCTCAACCCGTAAAAATACTTATTCAAATGCATAATCACATGACCCTAATAAGGGCACAAGATTTCATTTATTATACCTTATAGAGTCAATACACTTAATCTTTGAAACATAAATAAGACAAAATAGTAAATAACTTACAGTATGTATGCTTAGAGCGGATTTTGTGTGAGTGCAATGGGACACCGTTACCGCACAGTTACCGGACCTGGCCTTCACAATTTTGGTGAACCAATGGGGCACTAGAATTTGGTTACAGTACGATTACGGTCACAGTACAGTACTGTCCATTTCCCACTCATACGAAATCCACTCTATTCATTTTTCATATTAAATGTCTTAATCTAATGTTATTTTAGTACAGTAATTAATATTTTTTGTCATCTACTAAGTGCATCCACCTCTCGTTGTATGTCAGATTTGCTAAGTTTGTTGAGGATGCACTTCCTTTAATTGAAAATGGCACAGTCAGAGACAGGATACTAAGACTGAACACTGACTACCAGAATTACCTCAGAGACCAAAATCTCTGGAACCAGCTGTATCAGATGTACCAAAACAACACAAACATCACCAGTAAGTATATAACAGTGACCATGGTGAAGCATAGTAACCATACATGTTGTTCTTTTCAGCCAAGAAATTTCCATGATTGTTTTTTCCATTAGAGCGGATTTCGGACGAAACGGACAGTACTGTACTGTGACCGTAATCGTGCGGTAACCAAATTCTAGTGCCCCATTGGTTCACCAAAATTGTGCAGGCCAGGTCCAGTAACTGTGCAGTAACTGTGCGGTAACGGTGTCCCACTCATACGAAATCATCTGCTCTAACCTCTTTTTTCTAACAACAGTTCCAACCAGCTATACATGTCAAATCTCCAAGTATGTTGGTTGCCATCAAGGCTGTCAAATGTTTTTTTCCATTGTTTTATTGATTTTTTATATGTCCTTTAGGAAATGCATTCAGAAGTTTCATAAGAGATCCAACAGCATTTCAAAACTATCTTCAAAACCAGATAGGAATCAAGCCTGAAATTGTCCAACAGCTGATGACTGCTAAATTGAATCAAGACCAGGTATGGGATTCCTGTATGATATAATCMAGAACCAATTGAAGTCAGAATAATGTTTGCTGTCTAAGAGCAGGGCCCAAAGCTGAACCACGATAGTATATAGAATGTTTGTCATGCTGCGAAATTTGATGTTTGACACACAAACATTTTAGTCAAACAGAATTTTATTCATTTTTTCCTTTTTTTTTCATTCTTTTATTTATTCAATTTTTTTGCCTTATATTCTTTCATGTTTTTATTTTGTTACTTTAGTTTTCACTTTTTCATTCTCTCATTTTTCCCATTTTTTCATTCATTTATACTAGTATTTTCATTTTTTTTTTTTTTTGATTTTCTAATTTTGATTCTTTTGATCATTTATTCATTAATAGGTTCAAAGGCTTATGGCTCTAGCCAGTACTCTCTCAGGAAACTATTCATCTCTAATGCAGATGATAATAGGCTCAGGTTTAAATTCCCTTCCTTTTCCCAATGCTTCTCCTCAAGGACAATGGTTAGCCTGGCTTATTCAAAATATGCAGATTGTTCAAGCCCTTAGTCAGGTATAGTAATGATACAAATCRTAGTACTGTTTTCCCACTGAATTTCCCAATTTTCTGGGCTCTGGACACTGGTCAGGTGATTTTGTTCGATATATTTAACAAATTTATGATAATTTCTCAGGGTATGTCTTATTATATACCATATGGTTGGTGTCAATCCAGTCGTCAACATTGTTGTTCACCCATGAGACGCTATTATTTTTATGATGAGATGGTGTCAATTGTGGTAAATAAGAGGACATAACAGATTTTTTTTTACCACAAATAGTATTTCCAAATTTGACAGAGAAATCAAGTTTACAAGTTGAAGTTTACAAGTTTAATTCAATAAATAATAATAATTTACACATGAGTAGTTAGCGGGCATTGCAATTAGTTAAGACTATTCAGGGCGATGCCCGCTATAAATACTAATTTAGATTACAAAATGTAAAAGTTTATAACAAGACAATGAAGAAAAAAAGAAAATTTTAATCAGGTTTATGCGAGAAAATGTTCTGAAAAAAGAAAAAAAGAGAAAAGGAAAAAAGAACAATAGTGGTATAAAATTTTATTTAGCATGACGCTCAACCCATCAGAAATCGAGAATTTTGCAATTGTGGTAAAAACAGTCATATATACACTTGTATTTCCCCTACAAAAACCAATATGTGAATATTGAGGGTTGTGTTGGTTATTGATGGTTTCAGGGTCAAAGCCTTACTGCTGCTCAAATCAGGAAAATTGCTTGTGATGACAGTTCACCAGTGGCTATTGATAATATAGTGCAAGTGTCTCAAGGAAACTTGGTTAGTTTGATGTACTAGATACGGTCAATCACATAAACATTGTTCAGTTATAAAGACATATATACTAGACAACGCAACAAATACAACAACAACAACAACAATAACAACAACACAACAATACAACAACAAAATTTATTTTGCAAGAATATTCAAATATTAAGTTCCAAAACTTCTTAACAATTTATATTAATTTAAATTTATTTCTCTAGTTATTTAGAGTTTAGAATTCTTCCTGGTACTTCACACCAGGAAAACTATTTACAAAATTCATCAAAAATTTAATTACATTTGTAGAGGAGTTATTCATATATGATTTTTTTTTGTATGCAGAGTGATGTAAGGAMAGCTCTTTGTGGTCTAAGTGATTCTAAACTCCAAAACTTGACAGCAGAATTAAGGAAACAGATCATTATTCCAAGGACTCCAAGTAGCCTTAATACAACAATGCTGTTGGAACAGGTTGGTGACTTATTTCTTTTTTTTCTCTCTCTTTTGTTTTTTACTTTAAGTGGAAACTTTAGCTAGGTTATTATTTCTTTGAAATACKTCTTTACAAAATTGCACTCTTTAATTACCCAATAGAAGAAAAGCAGTATTATAGTTAATACTCCATTTTACAGTTCCTGTCACGATCTTAAAACATGGCCAAGTCTTGCAGTTGGCATCAAAGGGAGACAGAAGTTGAGCTTGCAATGATAGATACCTGTGAGATAAATTGCATTAGATATGAACATAAGGTATCTATCACTGCAAGCTCAACYYCTGTCTTGCTTTTATGCAAAGGCTTAAAATGTAACTTTCATGGCTACCTTTCAAGATGTCRCTCAGAACTGTAAAATGGTGTATTGTCAAGTTTAGTCAGCTAACAATKGTGATATACATGTAGCAAAGGCAATCTCTCTTTGAGTCCTCATTTGAATTTTGTGTKAATATACTGAGATATTTTTTCTATTTTACAGGCAAGGGTGTTACAAAACCTGACAGGAGACCTTCAAAATCTCTACCAAGATGTGAGTACAACAATATCTTTGATAATTACCGTAAGCAACTCGCAGCGATTATCCAAGTCAAATCTCTATCCTGCCCCTGCTCTCAACCCAGTCTAATTCTTTCATGATGGCGCTAGTAACTGTAAAATGGAGTATTTTAACTTATTTTTCATTGATTTTTTCCTTAAGATGCTTGCATTACAACCACTGGAAAAAGTGGTTACAGACTACCTGAGTTTGATGCAGCTAGCTAGTCAGGGTGCTGATTTAAATGAGTTAATTTGCAATGGCCGCTACAAATCATTTGGAACTAACGTCACTACTAGTAGTGGCTCATCAAGTACGTTTGGATTACAGCAAGCCATGGGTAGTCTTTTTGGCAATAGACAATCCAATACACAACAAACCCAGCGTAATACAACATCACGCCCTTGGAGAGGTTATGATAACTGCAGCTTCAAAATACAGGCTTATCCAGAATATCTGGATAAACTAAAGAACAAAACATTTGCCATGAAGCTTTCTTTCAAAGGTACATAGCTATGCATTGCAATATTTTTAAAAATAACAGCTCAGGAATTCAAAAGAGAGAAAAGTTACAGTAGTGTGCGATGACAATTTCACTCTACTCTACTCTACTCTACTCTACTCTACTCTTAGACTACTCTACTCTACTCTTACTCTTACTCTGCTCTACTCTGCTCGACTCAAGATTACTCAACTCTATTCTACTCCACTCCACTCCACTCTATGCTACTCTGAATACTCTACTTTACACTACTCTACTCCACTCTTAATCTACTCTTACTCTATTCTGCTCTGCTGTACTCAAGACTACTCTATTCTACTCCTCTCCACTCCACTCCACTCCACTCTATGCTACTCTGACTACTCGACTTTACTTTACTCTACTCTTCTACTCTATGTTACTCTACTGTCCTTATTCATATTTAATTTTACTTCTAAACTTAATCAGAGTACTATTCAGCCTTCCCTCCAACAAGAACAATAATTATGAACCCTCAATGGTAATACTGTACAATGTTCTGTTCTAGATAAGTGTGCCATGATTGATCCATATAAAAGAATTGACTGTGGGTGGCCTGGGATGTCTCCTAGCCAGTGTTATCAATTGGGATGTTGTTTTGACTCCTCCATTAAAGGACCTCATTACTGCTTTTATGAACCTAGTAAGTTATTTCCTTTTCCTTAAATTGTAGTATTAATGTTTTATCATTTTATCATTATACTGCTTATATGTTATGAGCAGTATGGCTTTGGAGAGATGTTTGCTTTGTTTGATCAAATTAATAAGATAAATTGAGGCTACTTAAAAAAGATTTATGACTTGTAGATCAGTTGTTATTACTCATACYTGTTGGCAAAGTAATTTGTTTGGCAGATTAGGTACATAAAAACTTTGAAACAAGGCGACAATTTTGGTCACCATGATGTGATGGGATGCTTATAAGTTACATGTACCTAATGCATGCGCCAGCTTTGCAATTCAGAAGGCAACTCGTATTTCCTCTTAAGAGAAAAGAACTGTATAGGAGTTGATTTTACTTTCTTTTCTTTTAGAAAAAGCCCAATGTGGTTGTCTGTTGGGTACAGCATTGAAGACCACCTCTGGTGCTTCAGACAGAACCAACCAGCCAAGCTATGACAGGGGATTTATACAATTATCTCAGTTGTTTCTTAGAGGGCAAATCCTTTACACTCCAGATAATCCTCTGACKCGAAAAATTATCAAAAATGTAAGTCAAAATCAAAATTACTGCTAAAGGGTCGTGGACAACCAGCATTTTATTCAATATAACCTTGAAAATGACGTGACTTAAAATATTCCTTCTCAATCATTCATCAGTAAGATGGATCTTACAAGGTCTCCATTTGTATAGGTACAAATGGATAATAAATCTGGAGTAAGTTTTTTCTTATATTATGATATAAGCAAAAGCTTTTTGTAAGAGATACTGGTTGACCATAGCCCCTAAAATCAAAATTTACTGCAGTTACTGACATATATGAACAATGTCCGTAATCACTGTGATATAACTTATTGTGTATATTATTTTGCTAACAAATGTAAAATACATGACATTGTGATCTTTTGTTTATTCTTATGAACAGATTCAAGCTGAGCTGTCTGATATTGGACTGTTAAAAGACTTTGCAGTGTGGTGGCTCAATAACTCTGACACCATCCGAGCTAGCCTGCAAGATGTCCCTTTGATTTATAGAGGCTTAATGCAAAACAATAATAATTCAACAAGAGCAGCACAGCAGGTACTTATCTACCCTCATCCGTTTTATTCCATCTTGTTTATCCATTCTTGATTGAATATCAATCATAACAAGATTATTYGGATTATTGTTTGTTCTTTTTTACCTAAAACTATCAGYTTCCCCAATTGGTTTTTTTCTCATYCACAGGCATTTCACTTTTCCAGTTTTTATATATTTTGGGTTCCCTGTRAAAAATATAGGGAAGAGAGGGGACTGGTCTGAGTACCTAACTAACTAACCTACTGAAGATAAGGAAGTCCTTATTAACTTTTTTTTATTTTCAGTGGCGCACTTTCCTTCAATCACAACTTCGTGCATCAAACTCAACACTTGCAGACCAGCTAGAGCGTTTGCCCAAYAACACAGCTATTATGGCTTTCCTAAATAGCCAGAATGGTACCATGAACATTAGCAATGTGATGGACAATGTAGATGCAATGTTTAGGGATGCTGTTKCAGTGTATGACTGCYTGGATCATGATTACTTTGTTGGATATCCAGATGAAGAGTCTTTGGTACTGCGTGCTACAAACACTTCAACAACTCCTGTTATTGCCAGTAAGTTTTGCTGCTCTTGATACTTTCCTTTACTTTTTTGCCTTTATTTTTGGTGAGATTTTTGAGTGATAAATCGAGAATCACTATAGTAGCCTAAACTGGAAAGAATGATGTCCAAAAGTCTCAGTCCCTCAGTAATTTCCAACTGACTATTGCATGTAATTTGATTCACAAGTTGCCATGTTTTTTTTTCTTTTTTTCTCTCTCTTTTAGGTTTTGTTTTTGAAAATGTGGATGGCAATTCAATGCCCAAACATGTCAAGTACAAGATMCGCCAGGACATTGACTATACACCAAGGACAGACAGAATACGATCATGGTAATTTTGATTTTTTTTAAACTGTCATTGTATTTTGAATGTGTATTTTGTAAGTCATAAGCCAAGTACCTAATGATAATTTGTAAAAAGTCTTTGCCAAGCACTTAAAATTCACTAGGAAGACWTCTAGATGTTGACATTGTTTTAGTGGAACATAAAACATTATTTATTTCTTCTATTTGATGAATTATTTACTGAAAGAAGTGAACTATTTACAATAACCTTGCCTTTATTACCAGGTATTGGAAACCAGGTCCACGAGATGGATTCACTTCAAATGGATACCTAAACTTTGGTTTTGTGTTCCTGCAAGATTTGATTGACAGAGCAGTGATGAGCATGATGTTTAATGAAACAGTGAATGAACCAGGAATCTATGTGCAGCAGTTCCCATACCCTTGTTATATACGGGACAGGTTAGTGAAGTCCCTTGTTATATACAGGACAGGTTAGTGAAGTCCCTTGTTATATACGGGACAGGTTAATGAAGTCCCTTGTTATATACAGGACAGGTTAGTGAAGTCCCTTGTTATATACGGGACAGGTTAGTGAAGTCCCTTGTTATATACAGGACAGTTAGTGAAGTCCCTTGTTATATACGGGACAGGTTAGTGAAGTGGGAAAGGAAGGAAGGGGTAAAGAAAGTAAGAAAAGATTGTAAGGGAAGGAAACAATTGCAAAAGAAGCAATGTAGAAATGAAAGGAAAGAAGGAAGAAAGGTGTTAGAAAGTTAAAATACAAATTAGTGAAGTGAGGTAGGAAGGAAGCAAGAAAAGATGTATGGGGAGGAAACAATTGCAAAAAAAGCAATGTATGTAGCAATGAAAGGAAAGAAGAAAGAAAGTTAAATAAAGTTAATATATAGAAAGACAAGAAGTAAGAGTGTACAAMATATATGTAACAAAATGATAGAAAGAGAGAAATAAAGAAAGCAGGCAATGTAGAAGGAAACAGGRAAGGTTTAAATTATTGTCTACTGGGAAATCGATTGAAGGAAAGAAGGACTGAGGGTTCAAAATAAAACGAGCATCAAGAGAAAGGAGTGAGAAAGAAACCCTTGCTTGAAGTCAAGAAAAGAAATTAAAGCTACAACAGGATGCTATCAACTGAGTCATTGCCTTTTAGGTTTGTGTGGTACATTGGTGGTTCTATGCCATTATTAATGACACTAGCCTGGGTGTACAGTGTRGCAATGATCATCAAGGGAATTGTTTATGAAAAAGAGAAAAAGTTAAAAGAAGTGATGAAGGTTAGTTATTTGCTATAAACATGTGAATTTTTCTTRGAGAGCTTATCTTTTAGTAATATTTTTGATTACCTTTTTACCAATAATTATTACTGTTTCTACAGGTTATGGGTCTTGGCCGTACTGTCCACTGGATTGCTTGGTTTATCAACAGCTCTTTCATGATGCTTATTACCATTGTATTTCTTGTTCTGACMATGAGGTTTGGACGTATTCTAACCAATAGTAATYCTTTCATTGTATTCCTCTTCCTGGTCGTATTTATGGTGTCAACAATTATGATGTGCTTCTTGATAAGCGTGTTCTTCTCACGGGCCAATGTGGCCGCGGCATGTGGTGGAATAATCTTCTTTATCACATATCTACCATACTCAATAGTGAGGTGGTTTGAAGCCTACATGTCAACCAGTGAAAAGGCTCTTTCGGTACGTATTTTGTTTTCTTTGGTTTTTGGTTTTCCTGTTTGCTTTACGTGCAAAGCCATTTTCTTTGTGAAGGAATTGATTCACAATATATGTCTAGATTTTTTTATCTCAATAAGATGAAAATAATTTCTTTACCATCATAAATTAGATATAATTATACTGTCTGACAAGTCCGTAGCACCAAACTCGGAGTCACAGCAAATCTTGCCTCTTTGTCATTATATATATATATAATTAGCTCTACACTATATGTGTATTGAGCACTCTTTAATGGAATCAGCTACTTCCTCATATGATTATTATAAAACTGATAAATGATATTCCATAGCATTTTTTTGTAATCTGTGGTTAAACTCCTGACCAATGAATTCACACCTCGAAAGATTTTTTWAATAWAATTTCACGTTTCTGTTTTATAGTGTCTRTCATCCACCACTGCWTTTGGTCTTGCGTGCAGCTATTTTGCACGTTATGAAGAACAAGGCACAGGAATCCAGTGGGATAACTTGTATTCTAGTCCTTTAGAAGGTGATGGTTTTAGTTTAGGTTATGCYTTGACAATGATGATGSTTGACTCTGTTCTGTATGGTGTGTTGACATGGTATCTGGAAGCTGTCATGCCTGGTAAGATTTCCTACTCCTTTAGAATTAGATTTTGAAACTGGAATTTCATCATTTTGTATTACTTCAATCTTAATCTSTGTTCTTCTGTTTACTATAAAGGCCAATTTGGAATCCCTAAACCTTGGTACTTTCCAGTACAAAAGTCTTATTGGTTTCCTAAAAAAGCCAGCAATTCAACTCCGTACCAACATAATAGTACTAGCAATGGAACTAGAAGCCAACAGTGGGTCTCAAATGGATTGGGGGTATGTTTATATATTGAGTATTTCCAGTGGCAGATCCAGGATTTTTCAAAGGGAGGTTCCACTTTGTTTTCGCATTTTCCTAAAACGAACTTTTTTACTGTGCCTCTCGAACTGTAGCAAATGTAAAGACACCACCCACATTTCATTTATTTTATTTATTTATTTGTTTCTTTGTTTATTTATTTATTTGTTTTTTTCTTTGTTTCTTTGTTTATTTATTTATGTATGTATTTTTTTATTTTTTTATTTTTTTAATGCTCGAGGGGGGTTCCTCGGAACCCATGGAACCCCACTGGATCTGCTACTGATTTCCCAAAAAGCATTTCAAGGGAAGATCCAGGGGGAGGATCAAGGGGTTCAGTACCCCTATCAAATCTTAATTCAAAGATCATAGCAATAATTATAAAAGGTCCACTTTCTGTGAGAAGGCAATTTGAGAAAGAATCAACAAAAATTGAACAAGAATTGGGCTTCCTGTATAATGAACATATTATAATTATTGTTTTTGAAAAAAACTTCATCTGCCATTGCATTTGGACATGTTAAAGAGCGAAATAGCATGCTAGCTATGTGAATCAAAATTCAATGAATAGTAAAATAATAAAATRTATTATTTTGGGAAGGTTTTGAAATCATTTCATTCTATAGCAGGCACCAGACATGCATGAAATTGCATTCAAAGGTGATGAAAATGACCAGACTGACAAAGAAACCCCAATAGAAGCAGAACCTACRCATTTACCTCTTGGGGTCTCYATCAAGGACTTAGTTAAGGTGAATTGATGTTTATATCTTGATAATTTKAGAGACCTCATACCCTTTTGGTACACCAAATTTCACATAATTGTGYAAGTGAATCCAGTATTTTACTTCAAACTGCTCACCRTAATATCACTAGTTAAATTTGTGCTTGAAGTTGGAATATGAAACAAGACTCAGTGTATAGTACATTTAGGTATTTTGATAATTAGTAAATATTAATTTGAAAATGACAAAACTATKTAATATTTAATGTTACATGACTTGTAAATGTCATTTACAATTCTCAAGTACACTGTACTGACAAATCTTCCCAGTATAATCAGCTCTTTAGATCATGTTAATTTATAAATTATATTTGTTAAACTTTGCAGATCTACAAATCAGGCAACAAGTTAGCTGTTGATGGTCTCAACTTAAATCTCTACGAGAATCAGATCACATCATTCTTGGGTCACAATGGTGCCGGCAAGACTACCACAATGTCAATTCTCACTGGTTTATATCCTCCTACTCATGGAACAGCAGTAATCAGTGGAATGGACATAAGAACAGACATAGACCTTGTAAGAAAGAGCCTTGGCATGTGCCCACAGTACAATGTTTTGTTTGACCAGCTGACTGTTGAAGACCAYCTGTGGTTTTACTCTTCCTTAAAAGGAATGGAGAAATCCAAAATTCCAGATGAGATTGAAAAGTAAGTAGCATGAGGTATATGAGCTTTTCTCTTGTCATTCTCATCAATAACATTGCTTAATTTATTTCAGGTTCCTCAAAGACATTGGTCTAGAGAACAAGAGACATGAGTTGGCATGTAACTTGTCTGGTGGCATGAAACGCAAACTGTCTGTTGGTATGGCATTCATTGCAGGATCTAAGGTGGTTATTCTTGATGAACCTACAGCTGGAGTGGATCCATATGCCCGGAGAGGTATATGGGACTTACTTCTCAAGTACAAACCAGGTGAGATGGCAGTAAACAAGTCATGGTTTAAACCTCCTGTTACACTTTGTAATTTTCTCAGCAACTTGTCTCACAACACCATTACTACACAAGTTGCTGGAGCAGAAG